AAAAAAACCCCAGAAAAATTAGCTGAGAGTAGTAGCACATTCCTATAATCTCAGCTACTCAGGAGGCTGAGGCAGGAGGATCAACTTGAGCCTAGGAGTCTGAGGTTGCAGTGAGCTATGATAACACTACTGCAGTCTAGCCCCAGCAACAGAGAGAGAGACCCTGTCTCAAAAAAAAAAAGGTTAATATTGTAAATATTTGTATTTAACATTAGGGTAAACTTGATAAAAGGTGTACAGGAACTTCTGTACTAATTTTATAACGTTTCTGTAATTCTAAAATTTTTTCTCAAAAAAAGATTTAGAACATAAAACAATTAAAAAATAAATATCCCTCTGCCCTAGAGGGTGAATCAGGATCCTAAGAGGAGTCGCCTGGGCATCTGTATTTTTCACATCTTCTTCAGTGAGTCTAATATGCCAGAGGAATTGAGAGAACCACTGCTCTGTACCATGAATGCCTGGGAGACTGAAATCCTGTCTTGTTTTTTGATGTAGTACATACCACCTAGCACAATGCCTATATGGAAACCTTATGCAATTGCATCCTTGCTGAATGAGCCTTTTAGTCTTCTGTAATCATAGATGCAAAATTGAAAACAAACACAAAAAATCAGGAGATTTTTTTCAGACATTTTCCTATCCAGAATATTTCCTATTCTACCCTTGGTCTCCTGTCATTTTCTGTTAATCTTGACCATTATTACCCTATTTATCATATTCCTAAAATAATAAAACTGCCACTGGATTGTTCAAAAATCTTACTTAGGGGCTGTTACCTAACAAGTGATATACTTCTTAGGTATGCAGAATTCTCTACCCTCTCCCTAATCATACAAGCTTTTCTGCATGCAAAACTACTGTTTCATGTGGACCCTACATTTCTCCCACCCTTCTCTGTGTCATACACACTAATGCTGCTGCCTTCATCTATACAAATCCTTTCAGGGCTCTACCCATGTGTAATTTTCTCAGATCACTCCATGAAAAAGTGAACATTCTCGCTATTATATTTGCTTTTCAAATAGCACTAGCATTTACTGTTTTCTTTTGCAATATTTATTTTCTGTTTCATTCCTCCATGAGACTAGATTAAACCTTTGGTGGGCAAGAGCTATGTATTAAAATAGGTCGTCTAACCTTCACAGAGTTTAATATGATGCCACGTACACAGGTAAGAGTATAATAATGATTTAATGTACATTTTGCACAAATGAAATATTTAAAAAGTAATAATAGATAAACCAAAATTCAGATACAAAAGTAAGCTACATTCATCACTCCAAAATATTTTTAAGGAGTCCCAGAATAAGTATTGCTAAAATTAACTGAAAAACCAACTGAAGTCTGAATAAAATGTTGATGCTATTGTTACATTAAGAATTGAACATTTACAAGAAAATTATATACAAGCAGTTCCTGAGTTGTAAACATCCGACTTACACACAACTCCTACTTATGAATGGAGGCTATTACAGTAAGTCCCTGAGTTACAAACATCCAACTGAGGTATGACTCATACTTACAAATGGAGACTATTATAGGTAATAGGTAAATGTGCCTGTTCCAACTTACATACAAATTCAACTTAAGAACAAACAAACCTACAGAATTTAATCTCATTTATAACCCGGGGACTGCCTGTATTCCTCAAAATGTTAAGTGTTCACACTTAATCTGTTCTTTTTTTTTTTTTCGCAGTTTTTGGCTTAGGCCAGGTTTGAACCCAACACCTCTGGTATATGGGGCCAGCACACTTAATCTGTTCTTAAGAATTAATCAAATGTCTGTTCTTAGGGGGGAAATCAATTATTTCGTCCTTCCTCTTGTTTGTCTCTTCCTTCTGCTATTCTCCCCCCACCAAACACACACACACACACACACACACACACGATATTGTTTATACTGTAGGGCCTAAAAAAAATGTTAATTCTTTTTTTCAGATATGATTTATAAGTGGAAGAAAAGGCTAAGCTAAAATATTAATGGACACTATAAATATTTCTACAATATTTTAAGAAAAATCACACAAAATACTAAGATGTATATTCCACTGGACTACAACTTTATGGTTGAGCATTGTTAAAAGAAAACAAAACTGTAGACATCATTTTCTGGAGGAATCTCTGGAGGAATGTTCCTAATTGCTGGTATTTCTGGTTCTTCTGCTTTGGGTTTTTCTTTTATTTCTGTAAAATCAAATAAAATAGAAAAATAGATTCAATGTGTGGTATTGGGACAATTGACTACCCATCTGAAGAAAAACAACCCTACCTTACCCATATACAAAAGCAAATTTCAGAAGGATTAAATATTTAAATATGTACCATAAAGTTACAGAAACAATAGTATTTTTATAATCTTAGGATTCTAAGCAGGACACAGAGACCAGAAACCATAAAGGAAAAGATCTGCAGATATGAATACATTAAAATTGTAGGGCAGCGCCTGTGGCTCAAAGGAGTAGGGCAACGACCCCATATGCCCAGAGGTGGCGGGTTCAAACCCAGCCCCGGCCAAAAACTGCAAAAAAAAAATTAAAAATTCTATATAGCAAAAACCACTATAAATAAAATTAAACCACAAACAACTGGAAAGAATATTTATAACATATGTGTAAGTAAATGCAACTGTAACTATTAAACAGATATTTTAATGAATTAAGGTTCGGCGCCCATAGTACAGTGGTTACAGCACCAGCCACATACATTAAGGCTGGCGGGTTCAAGTCTGGCCCAGGCCAGCTAAACAACAATGACAACTGCAACAAGAAAATAGCTGGGCGTATACTATTTTGAGACAATTTATTACTCCATTCCTGGGTTGATGGGCATTTAGGTTGCTTCCACGTAAAAATCACATTTTTAATAATCATTAAAAGATGCCTAGTAGTATTCATTAAAAAGGGGTAATTAAGACAGTTAGGTGGGTTTT